AATCTGGTGTTTTGCCTTTCATTTCCTCAATAGCTAATAGAGTTTGCTAAGATTCTGCAAATTGTTCTTTTCATGGGTATTGAACAAAACATTTCTTTCAGAGAATTTCCGTTGTCTCTGTACACATGAGAAAGGATTTGGCTTCAAAGGCAGTAGTTTCCATCGCATCATCCCACAGTTCATGTGTCAGGGTGGTGACTTCACCAACCATAATGGAACTGGAGGGAAATCTATCTACGGCAGGAAGTTTGATGATGAAAACTTTATCCTAAAACACTCAGCACCAGGTAGAGTATTTCCAAATTTTTGAAATACATTAAAATGTAAACTTGGTGTATAAATGCAGCTTCCCATCATTCGGCTTGAAATATGTGGTGCTGATCTTGACTGGGTTCACTGTCCCCATACAGCAACTGGAGGTTTTGGTGCAAGCTGAGCACAAATTAGGTCCTTCAAGTTTTGCGTGAAAAACTTTAAAGAACATGTAAATTTGTAAGAATAGACTGCACCTACAAAAAGTCAGGAAAAAGTTTGTCCTTCTCCTTATTAAGTCCTCTGTCATGCCATCGGTTGGTTTACTTGCAAAATGAGAGGCCAGCCCTTTTGCAATTTAATAATACCAATAAAGGAAATGTTTTATATATTTATAGATAAAAGATAAATTTGCTACATATATTTTCAATTGTTGTACTATAAAATAAATCCTTGTGTGTGCATAAACAGCCTGAGTAAGTAGGTAAAAGAACCAAGAATTCTGTTGTAGTTGTTCCTCAGTTGCTATTTTCTTCCGTTTATTTCCCTTCCATTTAACTGCAGCAGTATTTCACAGATGCTGGAAGTCCTTTGAGGCTGTGACCATGTGCCTGGTCTAGGTGATTCTAGATGGTCAACATTGGCAGGCTATTTGATTGTGGCGGTTATCGTGTTTTCATATTTGATTGGGAGCAGGAACCATGTTTTACCACTTTCCAAGCTCGGGGGACACTGCAGGCATGGGGAGTGCTGTCACTGCTGCCCAGCTGAGATCAGCTACCTCCAACACAGCCCAGAGAGTGAACTTATGAACTTTTTAGGCAATTTGGCTGATTTTACCATCTGAACTATTGGAGGAACTAAACATTTAATGCTTTTGGCTTATTTTTAAAGTCCTTCCCACGCAGTTTAAGTTTCACTTCAGTTTGCAAAGTGATTGTTTTCTTTAATTCTCTGATATGTTCTTAGAACTTGGAATGTACTAATTCCAGCTGCTGATGTCTTTATACTTTACCTTTACAAACTAAGGAGCTAATCTTAAAAAGAGCATATTTTGACATGGGAAATCATGCATTGCATTTCAGGCTCATTAACATTGGACAGTATCATTGATTTTATGTTTGCTTAGGTTTACTATCGATGGCAAACTCTGGAACAAACACAAATGGCTCTCAGTTCTTCATTACCCTTGACAAAACAGACTGGTTGGATGGAAAGCATGTGGTATTTGGGGAAGTGGTGGAGGGAATGGATGTAGTCAAACAGATTGAAGTGAGTATAAATTTGGGAGTGTAAGAAGTTATTTAGTTTTTCTGTTTTTCATTGCTTACCCTATCTGTGAAGTTGTTGACTTGCTCGCTGAGCTGGCTTGTTTTTGTTCAGACGTTTCGTCACCATGCTAGGTGACATCATCAGTGGAGCCTCTGATGAAGCGATGTTATTCTACTCTGCTTGGAATTTATACTGTCTGGTCCATTATGGTGATTACTGTTATTTCGGTTTTGGAACTCACCATAACGGACCAGACAGTATAAATTCTAAGCGGAGTAGAATAACATTGCTTCATCAGAGGCTTCACTGATGACGTTACCTGGAATGGTGACGAAATGTCTGAACAAAAACAAGCTAGCTCGGCGAGCAAGTCAACAACCTCACCCACAACCTGAGTTACAGATCTTTACTAAAACTTTAAATGCTTACCCTACCATCCTACACTGTAAGGAATGTTAATGGTGGTCTCCTCCAAATGCAGATTTACTTGGTGATTTAGGCAGCATATGCAGGTGGAACATATTTATCAGCGATCTTTAATGCTTTTGTATATTGGAACTTGGGCTGAAATCTGGGTGTTGCCTACCAAATCAGTGCCCAAAATGAGAGCCTTTCATTTGCAACAAGAAAACTCCTATAGCCTTTCTAAAAAAGAACCTCACCATTAATGTACTTTTCTTTGATCTGCATTCTTCATGTTGAGTCAGGATGAGTTATTTTTACAATTAGAAATGTTATAACAGACAACAGTATAACAGTGTAGCATTGAATCCTCATGGTTATACAAATATTTTAATTTAAAACAAAACATTGTAATATTTTTCCTTTTGAAGTACTTAGAGTCGTAGAGTTATATAACACAGAAACAGACTCTTCGGTCTAACTCGTCCATGCCAACCAGATATCCTAAACTGATCTAGTCCCATTTGACAGCATTTGGCCCATATTCCTCTAAACCTTCCTATTCATGTACTTATCCAGATGCCTTCTAAATGCTGTGATTGTACCCGCTTCCACTGCTTCATCTGGCAGCTCATTCCATACACACATCTACGTGAAAAAGTTATCCCTCAGGTCCCTTTTAAATCTTTCTCCCCTCACTTTAAACCAATGCCCTCTAGTTTTGGATTCCCCTATCCTGGGAAAAAGAGTTTGGCTATTCACCCTATCCATGTCTGTCATGATTTCATAAACCTCTCTAAGGTCACCCTTCAGCCGCCGCTCCAGGGGAAAATGCCCCAATCTATTTCAGACTCTCCCTATAGCTCAAACCCTCCAACCCTGGCAACATCCTTGTAAATCTTTTCTGGTGGTGACATTAATTTCTAATTGAACATAGAAAAGGATTTTAGAAAATACCCAATAAGTCATTATGTAGTGCAACAGAAAGTGCAGAAAAGTGTAAAAGAAGTCAGGGAGGAAAAGGGTGGCACTTAGAAGAAAAATTGGATCAGCTATGGTACTAGAGTCAGGTAGCCAATGTCCGCTCTTAATGTGGAACAGGAATTTTGTGAAGAAATTATAAAAAAAAATACAGCAGGCATCAGAAGGTGGGAAGGATAGTGAACTGTTGTGGTTTATCAAAGGCAAGTTAAAGGATGTGATCTAGGACCCAGCTGAAAGATGGAAGTTTGAAAACGAAGCAGAAACTAAACTAAGTGAATGAAAAATGGGCAATCCTTTGTGTGTGGTTTATTTGTTATTAATTGAGATGTAAATACCACTGACAAGACCATCATTTATTGCCTATCCTTAATTGACCTTGGATTCAGTGGCTTGCTAGGGCACTTTAGGAATAAGTTAAGAGTCACCCATGTTGCTAGAGTCACAGCTAGAGTCACATGTAGGCTAGATTGGGCTAAGACAACAAATTTCCTTCCCTAATATACATCAGTGAACCAATGGGTTTTGATTATGAAAATTTAATTGTCCACCTGATATTAGCTTTCAATTCTCGATGTATTATTTATTGAATTTAAATTCTACCAGCTACCATGATCAAATGTGAACCTATGTTGACAGTTAATTTAGCTTGGACTTCTGGAATACTACTCCATTGACGTTACCCATACTCCAATGTCTTTCCCTGTGTTGGAGCTATTCTGGAATGTGAGGTTATAGGTACACTCCAATTGTCAAAATATGTTGAATTTCTAATACAATTTGGGAATGTTGAAAGCCAAATTTTTTTTAAAAAAAGAACAAACCAATTGTAACTTTAAGAAAATTCTATTTTGTTTTGGATAGTTACTTTTACAGTGATTATGGTTGGCATTCTTTGTTTTAGAGACATCTTAAGCTTTTTTAAGAGGTTAAATACTAACTTTATTCTTTCAACATCAGTGCACAGAGACTTACATTTTTAAGTACTCCATACATTTTTAATGTGCCACAATCAGCAATAGCTTATAATTCAGAAGCTGAATTTTCTCTTGCATATTTTTGTACAAATAGATACAGTTAACTTCTGGGTGCAGATGACCTAATAATTTGCATGTGAATGATAAGATCTGGTGATATCAGCACTGTACAACTCGGAATAAACTCAAAACCTGACCACAATAGTAAATATCTTTAATGTTTCAGTCTCTGCCTTAGAAATGATCAAGGCCAAAACAAATCTTCAATAATTACATTTTACTCATGTTTAGTGGAGGTTAATTTTTCCCTTCAACTATACATAAACTTTTTCTTATTGCAGGCTCAAGGTTCTAAAGATGGAAAACCAAAGCAGAAAGTGATCATCTCGGACTGTGGAGAATATGTGTGATTCCAGTGCCTGCAAAGCATGGCTTTGGGGGATTTCAATTTTTTTATTATAGTCAGTGTTATCTGTAAAGATTTTTACTGATGTGAACACTTGTAAATACCTTCCAATATGTAAAGTAAAATATTTTTTTTCTAAAACCAAAGCTAGCCACTTTTATTTTCTTACAGATTAATATACTTGTAATTAAAATTAGTTCTGCTGTGTAAAGTTTAATAAAATTTCTAGGCCAATTTTCATATTAATTAGGCACTTAAAAGATACTTTCACACAACAGAAAGGCAGTCCAGTGAGTATACAGGGAAACATAGAAAGTGTACATCAGAGGGACACCACTTAGTCCCCACTGTGCCTGTACTGAAGGACTAGGCTTTTGCATACAAACTCAGAATATTTCTTAATTAAGATTCTACAGATCCCAGTAACATGGCTCTGTAAACTATGATACCCCATCAGATTCAAATATTTCTGCTTCTGTTTGTTTTAAAGGAAAACTATAATGATTCTGAACTCTGCAGTCTGCAAATCATGTGGCCAGTCAAAGTAAGAATATGCTCAGTGATCTAACCCAAAATGTAATTTAACCACATTTTAAATTTTTGATTTGAGGGAGTTTTATAAGAAGTCAGGAAGAACAACTTTACAAAGATAACGGAAATTATTTTAGGTCTATTCAAAAACAAAATGAAAACCAACAAGCCCATTTGAGTATGTTTATTGCTTTATTGGGGTAAATAAAATTTGAACTAACCAAAAAATTCAATTAATGAAAATATACAAAAACTATAAATTGGGTTCTATAACAGTCTACTGTCAAAAGGCACTAATCCAGACCATTAACTACAAATTATATACATATGGAAGCATATGTATGGACACGGAACAAAGGACAGTATACACAAGCACAGAACACAAATAAACCAAATTCTTACAATTCTCTTTACCTTTTATTTCCAGTCGTTTTCTGCGACAGAGTTTACGGAAGGGCATTTTTTCCCCATTAATATTTTATCATGCATTGCATGATAAACAGTTTAATTTCCCCCATCCCTGTAGTGTGTAAGATGCTTGGTTTACAATTCTGTGGTTTTGAGCACAAGCACTAGACCTGGCATGTATGTCCAGCTTTTTCTGTTTATACTCCAGTGTTTGGTTTGATGCTCAAATCCACTAACCAAGCTTCTGATGAACTCCATCAGTTCTTGTCTCAATTACTGGATTCACTATCATGCAGTTAGGTTTTGCAGAAAAAAACTGATACAGGCCATCATTCTTCACCCATTCGTGTCCCCACCCCAAACGCCACCCCCCCACCCCACCCCACCCTACCCCAAAAGGTCCTTGTCCTTACAAAGTGCACCTGTTGGCTTGAACACAGAGTGGCATATAGGCATCAGTTACTGAAACCAGGGCTGGTTCACCTACACTTTTTCAATAAAAGGAGGTGAAAGGCCTTCTAGAGGGAAAGTATAATTTAAAAAGATATTGATAAATCGATGATGGCTATTATAAATTCCACAACATTATAGACACATCAATAATTGATAGTTCAGTAGATCAATTTTCTCTTGCATATTTTTGTACATATGTAGATACAGTCTAACCTCTGGAGATAGACACTTAACCAGTGCCCTTAAGTGGAAAATAACCCAAACATGAACTATAATGGCAGTAGATTTATCAACAAATTAGTGAATACACATTCATAGTTGCCTTGCTGAATTTTCGTACAAGCTTAACTGAAAACTGTTTTCAAGCATATGTAGCTACAATAGTTTAAACAGACACTGTTCAATCTATAATTAGATTTTTTGTACAATCTGAGTTTGGTTAAACAGATAGATGTCCTGTATTTCCTTGGAACTAAATAAAAGTACATGTGAGAAGTTACTTAAATACAGTGCATAAAAAAGTAAGTAATTTTAATAACAGTAACGATTTTACAGTGTACAGTATTTCAATAGTTACTAAAAAAACTCACAGCAAAATTACATAAATGTTTGTAATTTGTACAGGAAAAAAAACTGGATGCTCCCATCGCACACCACATTCAAAACTACATTTCTTTTTATTCTGAAAGCTGCAGCTGTAAGCTGGTCTAATCCAGTCAATGAAGAGGTCTAAATGGGCACTGCTGATACCGTCGTGCTGTGGGCAGTGTAATTGTGCACCTTATATAATTTTCTTAAGTATGCAACTGATCTGCTACTTTTATATACTAAAACATACTAGAGTACAAAAAGTAATTTATTTAAAAAAGTGCTTTTAAAAAATATTTACAATAATTGGATGCAACTGGATGATCTTTGAAGACCTTACAAGTATGACATTTACACTGGCTAGACTCTGTTACCCTTTAGATCTCAAAATAGGGATTGGAAAGGTAATGAGGGTAGCATTAATATTTTATGTACATACATATATATCTTGCAAAACTATAGACTTAAAACCTGTCTTTGTTATACATATAACTCAACAGTCTTTCACAGAAATTACTAGCTGGGAGAAGCCCATGTTTGTCTTTTAAATAACCAGACAATTAAATAGGATACAAATTTAAGTGCAATACACTGCCCACAGTATGGTGGGTACCCTTTAAATCTGGCAGAACAAATAGTATAATACTGTACCTTTGCTTTAACCAATAGTGCACTTTTTTTTTAAAGTTCAAGGTTCACCACTCTGGGTCAGATTGTTCTTTTTTTTGAATGTCAATTCTCCAGGTTGATCTAACAATTCACCAAATTTCCACGTAGGTGCTACTGTAATCTCTTACACTGTCATCCATCTCAGTTAGATGGGGCATACAAATGGTGATTATTTGTACAAACCTTGCCTAAAATAAATGAAACCACAGGAAGTCATACAATTAAGCATGCCACAGTATCATGACATTTTTAAAAGCATTTGAAAAGACAGCATCTGCTACCCTGACAAAAGCTTTTGACGGTTTAACATAGGCAGTGTTCCAAAAAAATTATCTGCATTATTTGTGTAAGTTTTAGTTTGAGGTGCATAGAATTTATAGTAAATGTATTGTTTATTACTACCATACGTTATATGAAATTAGGGAAAACATAATGGCCACAATTTCTAAACCAGAAAATTGAATGTTTTGTTAAAGAAAAAGCAAATCTGTGACCATATTAATTTTAGATTAATTATCCAAGAAATTATATCATATTTTATAGGTTGCAGACAGAATTTGAAAAAAGAATTCTGGAAGATTATTTAAATTATGAACATCAATAAGTGAAGCATGTAACAAATGTCAACAATAAATCAGTGATACCAAAAATCAAGAAATTTATAGCACAAGTATCAAGTTTAACTACAATAACATTGCATGTTTTTAAAAAATTATATCCCCAACTCAAAATTTTAGAATTCAGCTTCTGAGAAATGCAAACTCTATTTTCTAAGTTCTATTTTTTGTGTTCCCTACACAGACAGAAAGGAATGACTTGCACTTATATTGTATCTTTAGACATGTCTCAAAGTCCTTTAGGGCCAATGAGTGAGACAGAATTGGGTAGTTAAACCGGCCCAAGACTTCCTCCAATGCCACAATGATTAGATGTTGGGAGGCCAGGTTATAGACAAGGTGCAGAATAATGTTGCTGCTCCCCCCATCACCTTATTGCAATAATGGACCTAACCCTATGCCAGTCTAATTGTCACTATCTTCGTGACTGATGAAGAAAGTGCTCACTGTGTTAGAATTATAGGCCTACGTCCAGAGAACCTGGTTAAAAATATCCATTTTCACTTTACTAGGTCCCTTGCACTTTTTAAAATGGAAAATGGATTTGACTTCAAACTCCAGAGGGAAAGGTGAATTGTGCTAATCCACTTCAGTCCCCTGCAGACAAACACTTTGAAAGTAGAGGGTTGCAGGTAAGTATTGCATGGCCATCTAATGGCTAGGTCAGCAAACGCACATCTGCCTTTCTCCCCAAAGACATTGTGCGGAAAATGCAAAGAGTCAAATAAATGTTGAGAAAATTATGTCGAGATAAAGCAGAAACCAAACCACAGTGTCATAGGAAAACTGGAGACAGAGGGAGAGTTTGCCGATGTAATCTCACCATTGCTTCCTTGACGGCATTTAGGGATAAAGAACAATTAGTGGCACAGTCAGTGACACCCACAACACGTGTGCAAATAAAAAGACCTTTAATCTTTTTTCTAGGCAAGGACATCTTTAGAATAATATTTATTTGCTGCTTGATTTCAACAGTGAGAAGTTCTGGTTTTACACAACTGTAAATCCCATATCACCATCTTCTGGGTAATCCTCAGTATTAACAAAGTGTGCCATTCATTAAAAAAAACTGGAAAAAGGAGGAGCCCAAGATAACTTAACTGGAGTGTATGCTAGCAGCATCTATCTGGTAGCAGCTTTTGAACATATAGCTCAGCTTCAGCCTGACAGAATTGATAGATTACTAGTAATAGACGTCATTTTGATAAGATCTTATCTTCTCTTGATAATGTGGGTTTACTGTCGAGAGGCTTTAAACTAAGATCAGAGAGGGGGTTTGTGAAAGGAGAAATGTAGGCTTTCAAAGCAAAAGAATACTGCAGCATTACAGGGGAGCTATTTGGATGACAATACTTTAAATGGGATAAGAATATACAGAGAAAAAGTAGCAAATAGGGTCAAAGGGGGGAGAAATGGTTAAAGGGTATAATTAATGGCTCTTTACTTATATGCACATATGACCAAAGTAAATGAATTAATGGCACAAATAAAGTTAATGAATATTATCTTATAGCCATTATAGAGACATGCTAACAAGGAGATCAAACCTGGGAACTAAGTATTTAGTGAGACACAAGTTCTTTTAAGGACAGCCAGGAAAGTGTGGGAGGTGAGGTAGCATTGTTAGTGCAAGATGGAACTGGTGTGATCGCAAGAAATGATCTTGGATCAGAAGGTACAGAATCCATATGGATGAAAGTAAGAAAGAACAAGGGGAATAAGAAGACACTAGTCTATTGGTCACCCAACAGCAGCTGTTCTGTAGGACAGAGAATAAATAAGAGATAATGACAGCATGTAAAAATCGCAGTACATTAATCATGGGTGACTTTAATCTGTGTGTCGATTGGGAAAATTAAACAGGCAGAGATAGAATTTATAATGTACATTAAGATAGTCTCCTAGAAAAATATGTTGTGGACCCAACTAGGAGTCAGGCTATTTTGGATCCAGTGGTATGCAATGAGGCAGGTTTAATAAAAGATCACAGAGTAAAAGAACCTCTACGAAACAGTGACCATAATGTGGTTGAATTTAACATTCAGTTCAAAAGCGTGAAATTTGAATAAAAAACTGTACTAAACTTAAATAAGGGTAATTACAAAGGAATGAGGGCAGAGTGCACTGAGAGAGAAAGCAGATAAAACTGTTGAGCAACAACGGCAGACATTTAAAAAATACGTTCATGACTCACAAAAAAGATACATCCCAGTGAGGAAGAATGATTCTAGGAAGGGATAAACCAATCATGGTTAATCAGGGAAGGTAAGGATAGCATCAAATTGAAAGAAAAACAATACAATGTAGAAAAGATTAATAATAAACCAGAGGGTTGGGACACTTTTAAAAAAACAAAAGCCACCAAAAAAAAAGCAGGAAATAAACTTTGAGGGTGTACTAGGGAGTAATATCAAGATAGACAGCAAGAGTTTCTTTAAATATATAAAAAGGAAGAGAGAAGCCAAAGTCAACACAGAGCTCTTACAGGAAATAACAGGAAATGGCAGAGGAGTTGAATAAATACTTTTCATCAGTCTTCACAGAAGAAGACACTAATAGCATTTTAGAATACTAAATAATCAAGGGGTAAATGGAGGAATGGAAATAAATGCAATAATTATCACTAGAAAATAAAGTACCAGAGAAACAAATGAGGCTAAAGGCCGATAAGTCCCCTGGACCTGACTGAATGCACCCTAGGGTATTAAAGGAAGGAGCTACACAGTTAGTGGATGCACTAGTAGCAATCTTCCAAACATCTTTCGTTTCTTGAAGAGACCCAGAGGATTTGAAAACTGCTAATCTAACACTCTTATTCAAAAAGGGAAGGAGACAGTGGGTAGCTTTACATCTGGTACTGGGAAAATGTTAGAATCTCAAGCATTTAGAAATACTTGAGATGATCAAGCAGAGTCAGCGTGGCTACTTGAAGGAGAAATCACGCCTGACAAATTTATTAGAATTCTTTTAGGAGGTAATAAGCAGAATAGATAAAAGAGAATAAGTAAATGTTATGAATTTGGATTTCCAAAAAGCATCTAATAAGGAACCACACATTAGACTACGTAGAATGTATGAGACCGTGGTGCTGGGGGTAGTATATTCGCATGGATAGGGGACTGGTTAACTAATAGAAAACAGAGATATGGGATAAAGGGGGATATTTCATGATGGCAACCTGTAACTAGTGGAGTGCCACAGGGACCAGTGCTAGGGAAACAATTATTTACAATATGTATTAATGACTTGTATCAGGAAAGTGAAGGTACTATCACCAAGTCTGTGAATGACACAAAAATAGTAGGAAGGCAAATGGTGAAGATAACACAGAGTTTGCAGAGAGATATAGATCAGTTAAGTGTATGGGCAAAAGTCTGGCAGAGGGAAAAAAATGTATGCAAATTTGAGGTTATACACTTAAGCAGGAAGAAGAGTAGTTGAATGTTATTTAAATGGAGAAAGACTGCAGAAAATGCAACATAGAGGGAATTAGAAATCTTCATGCATAAATCACAAAAAGCTAGCATACAAGTTCAGCCTGCAATAGGGAAGGCAAATGGAATGTTGGCCTTTATTTCAAAGGAAATGAAGTATAAAAATGTGTAAGTTTTTCTAAAACTATACAAGGCACTAGTTAGACCACACCCAGAATCTGCTGAACAGTTTTGGTCCCCTTATCAAAGGAAATATGGACAGGCATTATGGAAGGTTTACTAGGTTGATCCCAGGCATGAAGGGATTCTCCTATGAAGACAGGTTGAGTAGACTGGTCCTGTATTAGAGTTTTGAAGAATGAGAGGTGACTTTGTTGAAACATATCAGATTCTTAAGGGGTTTAACAGGGCAGATGCTGAGACGCTTTTACCATGTGGGAGAGTATAGGACTACAGGGTATAATCTCAGAATAAATGATCGCCCTGTCAGGACAGAGATGAGACAGAATTTCCACTCTCAGAAAGTGGTGAATCTGTGGAATACTTTATCCCAGAGCTCAGCAGCTGGGTCATTAAGTATATTCAAAGCTGAGATAGATTTTTAATTAATAAGGGAATTAAGGGTCACGGGAAAAAGACAGTAAAGTGCAATTGAGGATGATCAGATCAGCTATGATCTCACTGAAAGACAGAGCAGACTTGATGGGCCAAATGGGCTACCTCTGCTCCTTTGGTCTTATTGGCCTCCCACTAACCAGAGCATTTGTGAGTTTTATTAGTTTGATCTCGAGGTTGCAAGCTAACTTATATATAGAAAAGAAATGCTCTCCTCTACTCCTGAAGTAAGGATTCTTTCAATATGAATGAGGCATGCAGGCCATACCATTCTGGAGGTCAACACAGTTGAATCTGATCTCTTTCTCATTAGAAACACACATCTCCAGGTAAGAATGCTGTACACTAAGCAGGAGTCAAAATAAGACCTTTACAACCAATTGAATAACTGATCCCCTGCTGCCTGGCAACCATTAGCAAAGACACCTCCAGAAATGGGATCTAAATTGTTTTAGCTGCCCCTAGCTAATGCCGATAGATAATAATGAAAAAATTAACTTCTTGGATCCTATATTTATACAG